GTAGGTTTTGTTTTTCATAGCCAGCATCTCGACTCATCTCACCTTGTCTGAGAAGTGACGTCAAAGCAAACACATTTGGGGTAACTTAGGGCTGGAATGTGGCCTGCAGCATGGGTGCTGCACCCTGGGTTTCCATCCCTGAGGCACCCGAGCAAGGCAGGGGAGCATGGAGGTGCCTGGAGATGAGAAAGCTGAGGAGAGACCTTATAGCAGTCTTCCAGTAACTAGAAGGGGCTGCAGGAAAGCTGGAGAGGGGCTTGGGACAAGGGCCTGTAGGGACAGGCCAAGGGGAATGGCTTGAACCTGCCTGAGGGGAGACTGAGCTGAGCTCTTAGGCAGAAGCTCTTCCCTGTGAGGGTGCTGAGGCGCTGGCACAGGGTGCCCAGAGAAGCTGTGGCTGCCCCATCCCTGGCAGTGCTCAAGGCCAGGTTGGACACAGGGGCTTGGAGCAAGCTGCTCCAGTGGAAGGGGTCCCTGCCCTATTGGAGCTGGATGAACTTTAAGGCCCCTTCAGCCCAAACCATTCCATGATTCTATGTGCTCAGAGCTCACCCCATCCATCCCCCTGCTCTGAGACAGGACCAGCTCCAGGGGCTGAACCCCGCAGATGGACACAAGGCACAGCCGGTGGCACAGGGCTCTCAGGCTGCTAAAACCTCCCTCTGCCTTGTGAGTGCCAGCCACCAGCATGGTACAACCGCCAGCCTGAGCTCCTGTCCCCAGCCAGGCCCCTTGCCCCACGGCTATTTCAAGTCACTGTGTTTGGGGCTGGCAGTGTGGGACAATGTGAAAGTGCCCTGACTCATCTCACCCCACCAGCTGCAAACCACAGCGCGATCCTCGGCCGGCGGCACGTGTGCCAGGGTGCTCCGTGCCGTGGGGGATGGATCCCTCCCAGGCCTTTCTTGTTATTGCTCCTCTCAGCAAGGTTGGTGGGGGCTGATGACACTGGTAGGTGATGCACTGCAGCATCAGTGCCTGCTCCAGCCCGGGTGGACATCCCTCACTGGGGAGGTGGGCACTCAGGGCAGTTGCAGTTGGGAAACTGAAGAGGAGAAGTCCTTCCAGGCTTTCAAACCCCATTCTGCAGCTCCATCTCCTCTGGAAATACCATTCTGGTGTTGCTGTAAACGTGCCTTTTCATTTCTGTAGCAAGGCTGAGGTGGCACAGCTCATTCTCCAACCTGCCCTCAAAGGGCTGTGCTGGGAGGGATGAGATAAAGCTGTCTTCAGGGCCCTTTCCTTCCCTCCACAGCTACTGAAGGATAGCAGATGACTTGGGGTGACTTGGGGTTGGAGCCATGATGCTGGGCACCATGTTCATTTGGGTGTGTGGGCAGTGAGCAGCTCCATCACTGCTGCTCTGAGCTGTATTGAAACAGCTCTGGGGAAGAGATGCAAGAAGATGCTTCACCAAACCACAGCATATCCCCATGGTGTCCCAGCAGCACCACCCCACATCCTCCCAGGGGACCTGCTGAGAGGACACTAAACCAATGCCCTCAAGGTAAATCAGTCCACTCAGCAGAAAAAACATCAGGTTATCTTAATGGCATAAGACATTGTCAGCTGGTAGGTTCTAGCTTTGAAAAGCCTCTTCACAGTTCATGTGTTGCAGGAATTAAATCTACACCTTGTGAAAGAAGAGGAATTGAGTCCATTTCCCTGCCATGCAGATCTCTGTAAATGTGGTAGGATTTCACAGCAAAGACACGTGTGGCAGCCACAGCACACCTGGAGCCAGTCAGGAGATGCAGACGTGGCCATGGACCACAACCATTAGCAGTTGTGTTTAAACCAGGGATCAACACTGAAGGAGTTTCCTGTGATTCTCTAGATCTTTGTGCAACGTTTCCTTTTTCCTTGGTTGGTTCAAGTGGGAGATGGATTCCTGTAACAAACTCCCTAATGGAGGAAGTGGGAAGGGGATGAATAGCCTCCTGCAGAAGTTTGTGTCTTTCCTCCTGCCTAAGCATCCTTCCCCAACAGCTTTTTATGCCTTTAAAGAGTAGGAGAAAATGAGCAAGGCAAGAGCAAATGTAAAAGGGACATGGGAAAGGGCAGCTCTTCTTACTGGTGCAACATCTTGTTTCCCATCTGAACTGATGGGAAATCCAAGCAACTGAGCTGCAGTCTGCTGTACTGCCAAGTTAACAACCTTCTGCTTTGATGGAGAAGGAGGACAGGCCATGCCTTTGCTGTAACCACACGTGCTCTGTGCTTTTCACTGTTGAGGTATCCTGTGGATCGGTATCAGGACTGTTCAGCTGCCTTTGTAGTGGTCTGTGTCTTCTGTCATTGCTCCAGAAGCTGTTACCAGTCGTCAGACAGCGAGGCTGGTGGCTGGTGCTGTGCATTGGATCAGGCATGGTGCAAATGAGGAGGAAAGATCTGCCCCACTTTGAAATGCTTAAGAGAAGGTTTTCAAAGCAGCTTAGCATCGAGCTCGTTCTGCTCCAGTGCCACGGTACAATGTACACATAGAACTGCATATCCCTAATTTAGGTTTTCTGGCTCTTAAATAGGCTAAACCATGGCTACTTTGAGGAATATCACTCAAAAGCTCTTCTTCATCTCATTTCATGGGCAAGAATAGTAAAAGCTCAAAGCTACAAACGTGTATTTAACTAAGCAGGAACCAACCCAGAGCCACTCTTGATGGGAAACCCACAGAGCCGTGGCCCTGCTGCAGGACTGTACCACACCAGTTTGTGCTGGGGAGGGGAGTCACATTCCCAGTATCCCACTGTATGCTTTAAATCTACACCTGGTAAGCATCAGGGATTAGGGTTTTCAGACATTGTTAAATGCAAACCTTCGTGCCTCTTGGTTTTTATTTGCATGAGCAGCCTTTGTGGGATAGACAGATGTAAAGCAGCATCTCCATCGCTCTGTGTTCCTTTCTGCTTCATGGGTTTCCTCCTTGGAGTAGGGATGCAAAACATAGGACTTGCCCAGGGCTCTTGGGCTGCTGTGCAACCAACTCAGAGCAGCCAGGAGAGGTCCAGGACAGGTCCTCCAGGGCCATCAGCTCTGGCTGCTCCCCTTCACCAAAGCCAACTGGCATTGTGTGCTCACTGTGCCTGAGCAGAATCACTACCAAAGTGAAAGGCACCCCTGAATCAAGCCCAGAGGTCACAGAACCACTTGCCACTGGTCTCCACTTGGACACAGAGCTGCTCACTGCAGGTCTCTGAGTGCAGTCATCCAGCCAATTCCTTATCCGCTGAGTGGTCCATCCATCATATCCATGTCTCTCCAGTTTAGAGACAAGGATGTCATGCGGGACAGTGTCAAACACGTTGCACAGGTCCAGGTAGATCATAGAATGGTTTGGGTTGGATGTCACCAGTCAGTCACATCCTTAGTTTCCATGTGCTACAGCTTCTCAGATACGATGGACAGCGGCTTAGCAAATGCATCCACCAGTTCCCTCAGGACCCACGGATACATCTTGTCATGTCCCATGGACTTGTGCACCTCAGGTTCCTTAGATGTTCTCAAACATGGTCTCTTAGAGAGGGGCTGTTCTCCATTCTCCCAGTCCCTGCCTTTGCCTCCTGTAACTTGGGCAGTGTGGCTGGAGCTCTTGCTGGGGAAGACTGAGGCAGAAAGGTCATTGAGTAACTCAGCCTTCTCTGAGGTAACCAGGCCTCTCATTTCCTTCCAGAAAGGGCCCACGTTTTCCTCAGTCTTCCTTTTATAGATCACAAATGACTTGCCAAAAGCCACACAGCACATCAGCTGTAGATGTCCTGGTGGGACACAAGAAGTCAGGCCAGCAATACCCGCAGCCCCTGCAGAGCTGTTGTACCTGGTCCGTGCTCATTTTCTCCCCATTTTGGGGTGCTGTCTGTCCTGTTTCTCTTTCTGGATGTATCTGGGACAAATCCTAACATTCCACCACCAAGGCAAAGCCAGTTTGGGTTTAAAGGCAACCATGGGCGAAACCGGGCATGTAGGGAGCAGCTTGAGACGCTGGAGGCGAGGAGGCTGGCAGAGGCAGCAGTGTGTGTGTGTGCATGTGCATGTGTGTGTGTGTGTTTTCCTTACAGCTCTGTTGAACAGTTCCCCCCTCTGCTCCAACACACAGGAATACTCCCCACTGTGTTCACCAAAAAGCACCTTTTGAAATGATGTTGGCATCCAATGGCCTCGCTGTGTGTGACCAGGAGTAACTACAAGGGGGTTTGTTGCATCCCCAGCCCTGCTTCAGCTCCCTCCAGTCCTCCTCCCAGAGCTTGGACCCACGGGGATTTCATCCCAAGTGTCACCACGTCCCATTCTCAAAGGCATTGCCCTCAGCATGGATCTCCCAGTCCCAGTTAGGAAAGTCTTTCAGAGTGAATGTGCAGGATGTGAAAGTCAGATTTAGACCCTGTGGTAGCACAAGGATGAAAACAAGAGCAGTGCATTGGGGACCATGCTTGCAGCATTACTTCTGAATAAAAGATACTGGAAATGTTTGGACAAGGGGAATGGCTTGAACCTGCCCGAGGGGAGACTGAGCTGAGCTCTTAGGCAGAAGCTCTTCCCTGTGAGGGTGCTGAGGCGCTGGCACAGGGTGCCCAGAGAAGCTGTGGCTGCCCCATCCCTGGCAGTGCTCAAGGCCAGGTTGGACACAGGGGCTTGGAGCAAGCTGCTCCAGTGGAAGGGGTCCCTGCCTGTGGCAGGGGTTGGAGCTGGAGGAGCTTTAAGGTCCCTTCCAACCCAAACCATTCCATAATTCCATGATTCTATGATTGGAGCTGGTTTCCCCCTACCCATGCAGTTGTGTTCAGCTGCTGTCATTGCTTCATTTGTGGGTTTTTCTTGCAGGAAGCTCTGGTGTTTATTTAGGTGGGCAAGACCATTCATTCTCTGCCTTGTCCTGGGGAGTCACTGGGGACTTACCGTAACTCCCAGCCTCACTTGTAACAAGAGGACTGCAGAGGGCTCTGTCCCTCCTTGCCCACGGAGCCTGACAGCTTCTGAGCCCTCTCCCTCCTTGTGTCTTGCAGTCCAACAAGGTTCCTGTTGTGCAGCCATCGCACGGCGTCCACCCGCTCACCCCGCTCATCCCTTACAGCAACGACCATTTCAGCCACGGCTCCCACTCGCCCCACTTGCCCGCTGACATCAACCAGAAGCAAGGTAATGGCACCACTGGGGACCTGCGTGATGGGAGGGGAACAGGGCTGGGGACCACTGAGACCAAGGCTGTCACCTTCCTGCTCCCAAATCAATGGGAGAAGACAAGAGCTTTGGTGAGCTGGGGCAGTGCTCAGCCGTAGGAGTTTATTTAGCTCATTGGCAATGCTTTGTAATCGTGGTCAGGAGGAGTTTGACATCAGAAACCCCAACCCTGCTGATCAAATGTGCTCAGTTCTCTGTGCAAGCCGTCCTGTAGCTTGGGCCCAGACCAGGGCCTGCGAGATGATGCGTAAGAGTCAACCAGAAAATGGAAAGTAATCTTTCCTTTGACTCATACCCAAACTGTTGTCAGGTTGTCATTTTGAGAGAATAAATGCTTGAAACAGGAAATATTTTGACTAAATAGGATGGCTGTCTGATAGCTGACTGGATTGGTACATGTGTGTGTCCATAGCCACACGTTATGTGGTTGTCACTCAGTTTGGCTCTTTGGGTTCCTGTGTGAGTGCAGGACACGTCAGTTGGCTCGTGAGGCTGCAAAGGAAAGTACAGCAGGTCGAGGTTAAACCCTGCACTGTGAATTATAGGTATGTACACAGGAATTCACCCCAGCCCATTGTTCTTCGTGGGTTACTGGCAAGCTGAGCGTAAAATCAAACTTAACCTTACATTAGTGCAACAGGATCTTTCAACATCTGTTCAGATTACCCAGGTTTCTGCACAAACTCGGACTTGGTTTCATGTGAAAGCAAGTGAATTCATGGGTTTGTGTCAGACTACATTCAGGAAGGGGTTCAGGGTCCATCACAGCCCAGAAATCAGTGTGAAAACAGAGGCGTAAAGTGAACAGCTGTGATTTGGGCAAAGGCAAAAGTTTGGATCCAAACTATCCCAGAGATAATCAGCTTCAATGAGTTAATATCACTGATAAAACAGTGGGGATTGAGGATGCTCCTGGCTGGAGGATGGGCTGAATTATCCCTGGTCTGAACACAGAGATCATGTCCTGGACTCATCAGGGATGCTGTTGGGGAGGATTTAAGTCCAGTGTAAGAGATACCCAGGTACATCCTGGTTTTCGTTCCAGTCTCCCCTTTCCTGTTTACCCTGTACATTTACAGTGGCAGGGGGAGTCTGTCCATCCCAGAGACATCCCCAGTCCTGTTTGTGAAGAGGTTCAGACCATCATCCTCAGCTGAGACCTACCTCTGGGGTGCAGCTTGCTAACTTTGCATGCCCCATCCCTGCACTGCTGGGTTGAAGGTTTCCTTCCCCACTCATCCTGGATGTGCCCCATCTGTTTTCATCCCTGAAATACCTGCCATTATCAGCCAGTGCAAGCGCTTGTGAGTCGCCATCTACTCATTCTCACAGCATCCCTTTAAAGTATTTCACAGTAGCCCAAGGACACGCAGACAAGGAAGTACAAGCAGGATCTTCTGAGTCAGTGGCTGGTGCCCAGCCACTGGGCCAGCGAGAAGAACTGGTGCTCTGGCTCACACAACTTGTTGGAGGTGCAAATCCCAGGAAATCCTGGCAGCTGCCTAATGTGGAGGCTGGATTTGTCTGACCTGCAGTGGGCTGCTGCATCCCACTTGAGCACAGCTCTACATAAATCTCGTACTATTCATCGTCCTTTCAATTTGGTTATATATTTATTTTTGTTGCCTCCTAATAAGATGCTTGGAATCTGCTGGTGTCATTCCTAAATCGTAATTTATCATTAATACACCCAGGAGAATAATCCAGGCTTAAACTGCTTGCAGCTACTCACCCATTTATCCAATGCATTTATTGCTCAGGACAGCTGCTGGACAGTCTCTGTATATGCTATTTGCTCAGAGGCTCTGTAGCTGCCAGCATTACAGGGTGCTGCAGCAGAGCTCAGCTCCTGTTTCCAGTCTGGTGCTTATCTGGAGGCTCCTTTGCTGGTTGTCTGAGTCCCACCCGCAGCCCCCAGGCTGTTCTCAAGTCCAAATAGGAGCTGTGGCTGTCTCCTCTGGCTGTGCCACCTGTGTCAGCAGCTTTGAAGATCACACAGGGATTCCCCGTGTGAAGGGTGAATTCCCAGCTGGCACCGTACCCACCTCCACTCTTCCTTGGCACCCACAGAGCCCCTGAAATGATTGCTTTGAGCAAGGACTTACGGTTTAGTATCAAGATAGCAGAGATGCTGCTGGAGCATCCCCACTGGCCACTCCTGGGGGGCCTAGGGATGCTTGATGGGAAGGAAGGTGATGACTGAAAGGGGTGTAGGAGTGACTTTGACCATCAGTTATGCCCTGAAGAGGCACTCTGGAAGGGCACAGGGATGTCTGGAGTCCATCAAATCCTTACCAAAGCAAGCTGCTTCTTGGCTTCAGGGTAGCCCGGAGCAGGGATGCTGCTTGTGCAGGAGCAAACCTGCCTTCTCCATCACGTTGTGAGTGTTCATGATTCTGCATCAACACAGATGACCCACCACATCCCCCCAGAGAGAACCACAGCAATAAAAAGGGCAATTACAATACCCTGCTGCTTGCAGACACCTATTTCACATGCATTCCTTGCTGCCCACGAGTGCCTGTAGATGGAGCAGTCAGGGGGTCGGGAGCTGTTTGGGTCAGCTGGGGTGCATGGTGCTGGGTCCAACTCACCTCCTTTTCCCTTCTCCCTTCTTCCAGGAGTGCACCGTCCATCCCAGACCTCAGACATCCCCGGATTCTACCCCCTCCCTCCCGGTGGAGTCGGGCAGATCACGCCGTCGATGGGATGGTGAGTGTGGGGGCTCAGCCCCAGCCCCACTGGCTGCTCCATGCAAGGAACAAACGTGCAGCCAGTCTCTGTAACCTCCATGGTGCTTTCACCCGGCTCCATCCCTCCCGTATGCTGCATGGCGGGGAGCAGGATTTAGAGTTGGTTTAAAGACATCTCTGGAGAGGCTCAAGGCTTTCTCCCAGCTGGAGTATGCTTGAAGCAGGGTTACAACCTGCCTGATTCAGAACTGTCTCCTGCCTTACATCTATCTGCCTGTGCGGATTAGGAAACCCAGGGAGAGCTTTCTTCCCACCTCTCTTAATCACACAAAAGCCTCTCTTTTTGCGTAGGAGGTAATTTTCTCCTCACTGGGGCTTTCAGCACAGTGCTCTCCCTGAGCATGCCACTGGCACAGGGTAATCCAGTGGGATGCTCCATCCGCTCAGCCACAGTGCTTCTCAGGGTCTAACACACAGGGGAGCATCCCACAAAGCAGAGCCCGTTGAGAAACCTGCCCCAGGGACATGAGTTAAAAATGCGTCAGTTTGTGCTCTGTGGTCATTGCCCCTGGCTTTTGTCACCGTGATGGTAAGGACATGGAGGGAGCTGGTCTGGTTACTCTTCAGGTGAATTTTCATGCCCATCAGTGACACAGGGGCCTTGTAGAGGCTCATGGGGAGCCTGGTGGCTGCAGGCAGGGATTTGGGGTGGCCAGGACAGGGGGAGAATATGGAGAGGGTGACTGTGGGGCAGGCAGATCCCCAGCAAGGCCCAGCAGAGACCTCCAGGTACAAGCAGGTATTGCAGAATGGGAGAAGTGAAGCGTATTAAAACACAACGTAAAATGTTAGCTTTTTGGTTTGGTTTGTTTGTGAATCTCATGTTCCAGATATTTAACCACAAGGAAACAGAGGCTGAGGCCTTTGATACAGAGCTTGGCTTCAAAGAGATTACATTTTGCCTTCTGTGCTAAATCTGCTGCTCTTGGGCGATGATTTAACTCCTCACATAATGTGATTCATCCTCAGGAAAAACAAGTACTGGGGTGACTGTGCTGTAACATGAAAGCAAGAGTTGGGGGTGAGGAAGGAGCCTGTTTACCAAATGCAAGGTCCACTCGTGGGGTGGGATGCTGTTGGGGGCAGCCCTGGGAAGGAAGCCTGGTTTGCACAGGTTGGTTGCTTGGTGTGAGAGGGGTTGTGCATTGCTGAGAGCTACTCTAGCATTGCAGGGGTTTGGCATCCTCAAGCAACCTCGTCAGACACGGTCAGAAGTGACTAATAGAGCAGATAGAGTAAAGCAGCCAACGGCCTGGTGGAGCAGAGAGCAGCACCTCAAAGCACACGTGTCTATAACAGAGCCTTTGCTTACCCCTTTGCCTGCCCCAGAGTTACGGAGAGAGCCCCCAGACCACTCCCGATGTGCCCAGTGCTCAGCTGAGGCTCACTGTGGTTGGGTGCAGAAGCACCAAAGCATAGAAGGGTTGTGGCAGCACTGACCCCCAGGCAGCAGGCAGCAGGGGCTGAGTGCGGGATGGTTGTGCTGGGGATGCTTTAGCCGGTGCCATGTGCAGGAAGCAGCTTTTCCTCCAGGATCTGCTCAGAAATGGGGCTTGCTCTCACTGGGTGCTCAGGAGGAGGAGCTGCAGTCACCCTCTGTAATTACCTGGGATGACAGTCAGATAAAAGCCTCCAAGTCCAGTCAAGTGAGTTTTGCTCACGGGAGCCTGGCAGCAAACATCACCCAGGAGCCTGTGAACCGTGTCCCTCACCCGCTCCAAGCAGTGCCAATGCCACTGCAGCCCTTCCATGCCCATCCCGTGTCTTTTCCCCCTCCCATCACCGGGTGACACAGCCCTAATTGCCCATTCCCAACCATTAGGGACTGGTTTAGCCCTTGCATTCATTTGCACGTCAGACTCAGGCTGGATGAAGCCGCCAGCGCCCTTTTCTATCCCTGCATCCCAGCTCTGCAGTACCGTGTGTCGCTTCTGGATGAGCTCCGAGTGTTTTCTCAGCCCTGGGGCAGCCGCCTTTGACTTCAAAGGGTATTTCAGCTTCCTGATGCAGGGCAGCACTTAGCTGTTTGTTGGGGTGTTTATACCCGCCGACATCTAAGGGGTGGGAGAGGGCTTCTGCCTGGCAGGGTGTAAACACAGCCTTTCCTGCACACAGATCCACTCAAGCCACGACACAGCAGCCCCCGGAGCAGCACAAACAGAAACCCTCCTCCCCAGCAAAGCTCAAGGGCCTGTCGTTATTCCTCTGCAGGGCAGAAACTATCTTTAGCCCTGAAAAATCCCTGGCATCCAGGAGCTCGTTGCAAGGCACTGCACTTAATGATAATGGGCTTTTCTTTATTGCTTGTTAGAGCTGAAAATAGCTGATGCTGGTCTTAAGCACAGCTTCATGCAGGCTGGCTGGAGGGAGCATGAGCAGCAGCATGGATTTAAGCACCCCATCGTGCCCTCCTTGGGCACCCCAGTTTCCATGCACAGTTTTAGGCTGGGAGCATCTTCTGTCAGGTTTGCAGAACAAGCCTGGGTGTTTTTGAGCTATCTCCATATGAAAACAAGGGGGGATCCCTTGCTGGGAACAACAAGGAACTTCCTGCATAGTTATTTGACTACCTCAGGAATAATTCCCAGCTCCAGTCTGGTACATGCCTGGTCCCCAGTATGAAATGGCTTTGAAAAGAAAGGTAGGACTGAGGTTTTGGTGTGTTTTAAAATGATGGGCATCCTTAAAGTGATGCGCTGGGGAAACCAGAGCTTTTATAAAGCACGGGCAAGGTGCTTACTGTCCGTTCCTGTCCTTGGGCATCCTCCCAGTGCAGCCCATGACCATGCAGTCTCTTGTGCATCACACAGAGAGAGGCTCTGACCACGCTTTAGGGTTTTTGGTCTAACTGTGCTCTTTAAGCAGCTCCTTCTGTATGATAGCCACATGTCCTAATCCTTCAGCACACTGCTGCATTTTGCATGTTAACAGGATAAGCTCAGTGCTGCAGTTACTGCATCAGGGACAGAGGGGGGTCACCTGGATCCAAGCTTTGCAGGGAGGTCCAGCTACTCCCAAAATAAAGCCCAAATCCTGCCCCTTAAAGCCCAGGGGACACCAGGAGCATCCCGCCAGGCAGAGCTGGGGCATCGGTGCTCCAAGTCGCCTTAGCAAAGAGAATCTTTAGGAGACACCCCGTAGCTGTGGATACTTTATAGACTCTTTCTTCCCGATCCCAGGCAGAGCCAGTCTGTCTATCCGCTCCCGTCATGTGGATTTAGGCAGCCGTATTCGTCAGCGCTTTCTGCTGGGGCTTCTTTCTCCAGGTGAGTATGAGCTGTGTGAGACAGGGCAGCAGCTCGGCCCCGCTCGCAGCTTGCAGTGTGTGCAATGGAGCTTGCAGCAGCTTCCCGTGGCAGCCATGGGAAGAGAAGGAGGTTTTAGGCATTGTCTGGTCCAAAGGGTGCGCAGGGGAACACGGAGCATCCCAGGAGGATGCACAGTGACTGAGGTTTAATCAGCACAAGTCAAACCAAAGCAGCTCAGCATTGGGAAAATGGGGTGAAATCCACTGCTCCTTGTCACAATCCTAATCCTGAACATACCCCTGCTGCCACACCACTGAGTTTTGCTCTGTGGGGACTGATCTGTGTTACTTGCTCTCAGCCTTTGAAGCAGGACAGGCAGCAGGCAGTGATCTGCTGCCCCCCATCAGCACAAGTCAGCTCTCTGAGACTGAAGTGCAGCTTCTACTTTCCCCATCCCATCATCAGGCAATGAGCATGGGCTGGACCCTGCACATGGGAAGGGGTCAGCAGGAGATGGCCCTGTCTCTGCCTTGCCTTTCCCTGCAAGGACGTGGCCCTGCAGCACAACCTGCCTTGAATAGTGGGTGGGTTGAGCCACGTAGCACAGCACCATTCATACTGCGAGTTTGTGGTCACCCAGGACCAAATACTGCCCTCTGTAAATACACCCAGAGCCCAGCGATGGCCCAGTGAGCAGCACTAGGGATGCCTGTGCACACCACATGTGCTCACACAGCAGCTTTTGCTTCTGCTTTGTGTTGTCCTGAAGAGCCATTAGCAGAGGTTTCCCACAGGAAAACCATGCAAGCCCTTAGCCATGCAAAAACCTCCATCCATGCATCCCTGGATCCAGGCAACCCCGTAGCCCTGCAGCAGAGGTGAGGGATGCTGCCAGCACTCCTTACTCACTGGTGCATCGCTTTGCCCAGCCTTGATGATGAAGGCTAGAAAGGAGCTAACGGTTCCCTTTGGAGGCCATCAGCCTCCTGAGCCCAGCACGGGAGCTCCTGCTTGCAGGATTTGGGATGGGTTTTGCAGCCCTGCTGCAGCCCTGAAAGTACACCTGGTCAGATAAGGATCAGATTGTGCTGGTGGAGTCAATTAAACAGCTTTTCTTTCCGTGCCAGCATATCTAACGAACAGTTCATCTCCCATGGGCAATTCTGCCATCTCAAGCTGCAGTCATAGCGTGGCAAGCTTGGCAAAGCTGGCTGCGCTGGCTTTACCCTCTGAGACTCTCGAGGGAGCTAATGAAGCCTGAAAGCTAGCGAGACCTCTCGTGATCTCAGAGTGTTGGTGGAGAGCCTTGCTTGGGGAAGGTGCACCTCCTAGAGTTGCAGTTCGGTTCATGTTCAGACTCATGCTACTTCTGTTAAAAGAAAGGTGCAGGGTGGTCCTAATCTCTCCCATCCAAAGCTGGGTTGAGTTTGTTGTTCCTTTCTGCAGCGCTCATGAGATATTGCAACAACAGAGATCTGAGTAGCTGAAACCACTGGTTGAAAGCACCCTTGATCTCAGTGGGGCTGGCTCCTGATCAGGCTGGTTTCCTCATGGCAGCACCCAGACTCTTTCCAGCCCCATTCCAGCAGTGGGGGCAACCCAGGGCTGCTGGGCAGCTGCCTGCCCCGCACCAGCACCGCAGCACTCACGGGTTTGCTTTCCATGTCCTTTGCTTTCCCGTCTGCTTCTGCCTCGTCAGAGTGCCAGCTCGTGAGACACCGCTCCGGCTGCCCCAGCATCCCCAGCATCCCCAGCGCAGCCCTCCCAGCCGGCTCATCCGCTCTCTCTTGCAGGTTCACTCACCCGCTGATGCTGGGCTCTGGCATGCACACCACCGGCATCCCGCACCCCGCCATCGTGCCCCACTCCGGCAAGCAAGAGATGGAGCACTATGACCGGAACATGTGAGTTCATAGAGGCATGGTTTGGGTTGAAGGGACCTTAAAGCTCCTCCAGCTCCAACCCCTGCCACGGGCAGGGACCCCTTCCACTGGAGCAGCTTGCTCCAAGCCCCTGTGTCCAACCTGGCCTTGAGCACTGCCAGGGATGGGGCAGCCACAGCTTCTCTGGGCACCCTGTGCCAGCGCCTCAGCACCCTCACAGGGAAGAGCCTAAGAGCTCAGCTCAGTCTCCCCTCGGGCAGGTTCAAGCCATTCCCCTTGGCCTGTCCCTACAGGCCCTTGTCCCAGGCCCCTCTCCAGGTTTCTTGTCAGCCCTTTTTAGTTACTGGAATACTGTTAGAAGCTCTCCCCTGAGAAGCTGGAAGTTGAGCCAGCAGGGCTCAACAGCATTAATGCTTTAATACCCATTTAATTTATCACTGTTAATGCTTGCATGGGGAGGAGGGTGGATGAACACTGAGCTCTGCCTGCATCAGGCAGCAGCACGTGTCCAGGGTGCAGATCTCAGGTCCCCCCATCGGGTTGGTTTGGTGTTGGGTCTTTAGAGCTTGGTGCCAGCAGGCAGCCAGGCTGGAGGCACCTGATGCTCACAACTCTTCCTTTGGTCCTACCAAGGAAACCTCAACCAGAACCAAAGAGAGAGAAGGAAGCCAAGAAGCCCACTATCAAGAAGCCCCTGAATGCTTTCATGTTGTATATGAAAGAAATGCGGGCGAAAGTCATTGCCGAGTGCACCCTGAAAGAGAGCGCCGCCATCAACCAGATCCTGGGGCGGAGGGTAAGGACGTGGGGGCTCAGCACCATCACCCCAGTGCAGCATCCCCATCCCTTGCAGCTGCTCTTAAGCCCATAGCAATCATCTTGCTTTCAAAACCAGCTGCTCTTATCCCTTAAACACATGGAGTCAGTTGTGGTCCGGAGCGGGGTGGCCGTGGTGGGATGGGCAAGGGGGGGGACAGTGGGGCCGTATCTCACTGTCACTTGTCCTTGCAGTGGCACGCGCTGTCCCGGGAGGAGCAGGCCAAGTACTATGAACTGGCTCGCAAGGAACGGCAGCTCCACATGCAGCTCTACCCCGGCTGGTCTGCCAGGGACAACTACGTGAGTGGCTGCTCTGCTCGGGTCCCCTCCCTATGGCATGGGCTGCAATGACCCGGGGTGGGGAGCTGACAACTGGGGTTTGCCAAGCAACCTGCCTGTCCCCAGTAATGCCAAAACCACCCCAAAAACAGGGCAGAGATGATGCAGAAAGAGCATAGGTGATGGGACACCCCTAGTTTGCATTTCCCTGCAGCAGCACAATGTCCCTGCCTCCTTACAAGCACAGAGCAGGAGCTCAGCATCCGTATGCAGCTTTGCAGGATCAGTGCTGGATGCTGCTGCCCTCCAGAGCTGCCCTTAGAGCAGCACCAAATGTGGCCACATCTGAAGGGCAGCAGCATCATGAGAGCAAGGCACCATCATCCTCCAAGATGAAGTACACTCTCCATAGAAATCTCCATCCTGTAGCATCCTTCATTTGGCAAGGGCTGGTTCCTTGCTCCAGAAGATGCATCCAGAGGATGGTGGGCTCCAGAGGTGCCCATTGGCTCTGCCAGCACTGGCAAGAAGCTGCTTCGAGTCTTGTGGTTGTCATAAGAGATGCTTTTCTCTCTGGAGCTCGAGCAGGAAGGAGGAGGAGGAATGTAGGTCACTTGTGCAGCACACGATGCGGATATCAGGCAGGAAATACAGTTGCTCCCACACTGAAGAAAAAGCTCACCGCAGCTCAGAGCTTTCCACCTTCACTCAAACCACAAGAAGTCATAGACAGAGTCAGAGGTCAAAGGCAGCCCTGCGAGCTGCCTGCTCCACACAGGCCAGATTTGCTCCTGTGCTGCTCTGCCCTCGTGATAAGCTCATGAGGAGATGAGGGGAGTTGTTGTGTGTTGTGAATCAGAGGCAGTTTGGGGTTTCTTGTTAGTGAGGGGAGCAAGAAGAATGAGAGATGGGTCCAGAGCTGCACAAAGACTGAAATAGAGAAGCAGTATTTAAATGTTAATTTCTGGGGATTTCCCAAAGCTTTCTTTCCCATTGGAAATGTGGAACGCTCCTCCTGGTTATGCTATGGAGCAATTCCTGTTTGGGTGTAAGGCACCACATTAAAGGCAGCAGCAGCTTTCCCCAGCAACCCAGTCCAGCCCCAAAACCCATGTGCAGCACCCTCGGTTCAGAGCATGGCCTGACAGCCTTTCCTTTGATTCCCTAGGGGAAAAAGAAGAGACGAACACGGGAAAAGCAGCAAGATTCCAACTCAGGTAAATGTGTGTGGCTTCAGTACCCCCTCACAGGGGATAATCCAAAGCAGTTGTCATGTTTTACCATGTTGCCTTTTATTCTCCCAAGTTAACTAAAGAAATACGCATGTATTTGGGTTTTAAGATGCAGCAAATTAACGTTTCTGTGACTTTTCCATAGAGAAGTTTGAATGAGAACATGGGTAGTATCCATCTCTATGGCTTGCCTGTGAAATGATCATTTCACCTGTTGTGGACTGAAACCCAGCTGCTGGCTGTACACAACAGGACGCTGGTGGTGGCCGAAACAGGGAGCATGAGTCCAGCACTGATCAAATGATCACTGACATGTGCTGATCAAATCCCATTTACAGCACTAGAGAAAACCATGATGAGCCCTATAATTATACAGTAAAACCGCCACACTTTAGGAAAGGACATGGAAAATAGCTTTTCCATTAAAACTGGAAGGGGAATGGTGGGGGGCAGAGCAGTAGAATAACCCATGTCTGGGTCTCCTTGGCGCTAACTCTGCTTTCAGCCTGCTTCTGCAATGTTTCCTCCTCTTCTTTTCCATGCACAGTCTGAGCTCACTGGCAGCCCCATTTAGTCACTGCTGGAAAGGCAGGGAACAGGTAAGGATGCAGACACAGGGGGCTGGGAGCACCTCTGGGATCTGGAAGCTTTTCCAGACTTCAGAAATGTGAAGAGCCTGCAGTTGCCCATATTCCCACAGCTGAGGCCGTTTCCCAAGCCTCCTTCCCCAGCTGCCAGCACTGATCACTGATACTGCCTAAAAATCCCTTTTTTTCCAGGAGAGGTTGGTGCTGGCTCCATTCTGTTACAGGAACATGGGTTGTAGTCTGGGAGTCGTGTGTTCAAGTGGCTAAAATGATGTTGCCTCTTTTCTTCCTCCTGCTCCTCCTCCTCTTTGTGCCTCTGCCTTGCCCATTCTCCGCCACGCATGCTTCTGTGTTCAGATCCTGCCTCTCCTAAGAAATGCAGAGCTCGCTTTGGCCTCAACCAACAAACGGACTGGTGCGGCCCGTGCAGGTGTGTATCAGCATCTCCTCCTGCTGGGGTGCTCCTGGGCGAGCGGGTTCGGCTCCGTGTGTCCTCCTGCTGCTCCGGCCAGGCGGGATGGGGTTTGCTCAGGGCACTGTCAGTTGTTGTCCAAGCTGCCAGGGTCAGGCTGCTCCATGGGGTTTGTACCCAGGCTCCCCAGGGTGGTGTTGGTGTGATGCTCTATGTGCTCCTTGGCTGATGGGCTTCCCTGGTCTTAAAAGCTTAGTTCCAGGGTGGAGACCTCTTATGCAGGGTTCTTCATCCCCTATTAGAGATTATCACATAAATAGGATCCTAGGGCCAGCAGTGAGTAGTTAATGGGTTTCTTTTTCCTGTTTCTACCCGGGCTAACCATGTATTTCAAGATCCAGCTCTTCTTGATGCTGAATTTTGCAGTACCCACCATGGGTGGGATGGGAAAGCCTCAAGCAAGGCAGTTTGCAAGTGCCCTGTGCCTCTGGCTTGCAGGGAATGGACATGGCCAGGGGACAGTAAAACTATAGCAAAAGCTGGAAGTAAAGAATTGCTTCATGTGCTTCTGCAGCTTGAAGTGACTGAAATGATTGAGTGCACCCAAATCCGACCATCTGCAGAGTCCCAGCAGTGCTTGGCCACTGGCCTTGCTGGCACAGTCTGAGCTGCCACAGCATCCCATGCAGCAGCAAACCTCCTGCTTGCCCTTTATACACAGGATAATGTCATCAAACTGCATTTCTTTAACTAATGAGGCCCTTTAACAAGTCACTGAGTGTCCACAGAGGGGTTTCATCCCGCAGCAATGCCCCATCCCGCAGCACAGAGCACGGCTGCAGCTCTGCAGCCATTCTCCAGCATCTGCCTTTGCTTCAGCTCTGAACCAGCATCTCCTCTGCGCTGCTTCCCCATTAACACAGCTGCTGAAGTGCTCCGAGACCTCGGCTTGCTTCTGTGTTTTAACCTTTGCCTCTCCAACCCTGGTCAGTCACGGCTGATCTGCAGTTCCCCTGTACCTGTACTGACTGTGCTGCTGCCGGCTGAAGGGCTCTGCTCACCTGCAGAGGTGCAGGATTTACTGAGGAGGTTTCCGCTCCACTGGGCAGGGACCCCTTCCCCTGGAGCAGCTTGCTCCAAGCCCCTGTGTCCAACCTGGCCTTGAGCACTGCCAGGGATGGGGCAGCCACAGCTTCTCTGGGCACCCTGTGCCAGTGCCTCAGCACCCTCACAGGGAAGAGCTTCTGCCTAAGAGCTCAGCTCAGTCTCCCCTCGGGCAGGTTCAAGCCATTCCCCTGGCCTGTCCCTACAGGCCCTTGTCCCAAGCCCCTCTCCAGGTTTCCTGCAGCCCCTTTAGGCACTGGAGCTGCTCTCAGGTCTCCCCTTCAGGAGCCTTCTCTTCTCCAGGCTGCCCCAGCCCAGCTCTCTCAGCCTGGCTCCAGAGCAGAGCAGCTCCAGCCCTTAGAGCATCTCAGCTAAATCCCTTTAGCTGTGTAACAGCCACATCAGCCTTAGCCCACTGACAGGTTCATTATCAGCAGCCAGATCTGCCTTTTCCCCCCATTACTTTAAATCAGGTCGTTTGGTATCACCACTGAAACTCTCCATCCTGCAGCTTCGGGGATGTCTGTGGGAAACAGCTTCTCCTCGGGCTCATCTGCTCCAGAGAATTACAGCCCATGCAAAGTAACCTCTGAGTTCAATACTCAGTTCAGCAGCGCTGTCGTGTTCCATATCACATTAATTGGGTCACCACGGCTAACGATGACACTGCCAGCAGTAACAGCACTTCCCTTGTTCACAGCCAGTGCAAAGTCATGTTTAATACTGGGCCAGTTAATACATATCCTAACACGGTCTGGGTTTTCATTAGGAAGATCAAAGAAAGGTGTGTGCCCGCATTAGCCGCTTCTCCACTTGAGCTGTTTCCCTCAAGTGAGACACGGAGGCAGGGAGCAGGGCGGGAGGAGGATGTGCCTTTAGCTGCTTTAGCTGTAAAGTCATTAATACCATCCCCAGCAGAGGAACTGTTCCCTCGCTGCTGTTACAGTGACATCTTGAGAGCTCCTTTGTTTAAAACTACCCTGAGATGCTTGAGGACCAGCAGCAGGTGAAGGATCTGTCACCCCAAGAGAGGGAAACACCAGCTCAGCACAGAGGATGTGAAGGCAGAGTGAGGGACTGGATGGGCAGGAGGGGTGAAGGTTTAATGGAGTGGTTTGGGGTGGAAGGGACCTCAAAGCTCCTCCAGTTCCAACCCCTGCCACAGGCAGGCACCCCTTCCACTGGAGCAGCTTGCTCCAAGCCCTTGTGTCCAACCTGGCCTTGAACAGGGATGGGGCAGCCACAGCTTCTCTGGGCACCCTGTGCCAGCGCCTCAGCACCCCCCTTATTTTGATTTTTATTACTGATATTATTGGTTTGGGGTTTATTGTTGCTTTTTTCTTTTATTAGTTGGGGGTTAATTAATTTGCTTTTCATTATTTTGACTGTTATCTCGAATTTTATTATCTTTTCATTTTTATTCATTTATTATTATTTAATTTTTGATTCATTTTATTCACTTTCCATCGTTTTAGTTTTATTCATTTATTACCCTGTATCACATGCCTTTTATTCCTGTTCTTTTTACTCCCCTTTCCCCATCCCCGCGCACCCGCGCCGCTGGGCCGCCGTTATAGCGCCGCCTGGCGGTCGCAGCGCAGCACAGCCCCGGCGCCGCAGTGAAGGGCGATCCCCGGGCGGGGTGGGGGGGCGCTGGACGGGTCCCCCCGGATCGCTGCTCTGTGCCTGGTGTATGACCCCGAACTCGCCCTTTATTCACAGATAACTCTCTCCACTGTCCCTAGGAGGAAAAAGAAGTGCATTCGGTACCTACAAGGAGAAGGACGCTGTGCCAGCCCAGTTTCTTCCGATGGAAGTGCTATAGACTCCCCTCCCTCTCCTCTGGACGCACTCCAATGCATCTCCTCTGCTTTCCCTTCAGACAAGCTCGCAGCCCCCGCTGACTCCGCACACAGAGATCACCCCGATCCCTTCCCCGGCTCCGCTCACCTCCAGCCCCCCTCCGGCTCCTCCAGACGGACGCCCACAGAGTCCCCTCCACGCTGCGTGGCCTCCACGGGGACATAGTCCTGCGCCCCCCGCCGGGGCACCGGGTACCTCCTTTCAGTGCCCACTGCCAAGGACCAGAGGCCACATTCCCCATCGCACTGTAGAACGTGCAGGGTTAGGACATGGGATGCCTTGAGGATGCTGGAAAACTCCTTTAGTTTTTATTTCTTTTGGGGGGTGGGAGAGGTGTTAAAAGATAGAAAAGTGATCTCCAAAACAAAAGGTAATGAGAACTTGCCAAAATTTAAAGTGCTGATGAGTAAACAAGCCTTTGTCCCTGCCCTGTGCTGCTTTTCTTCTTTGTTTGGGGGTTTTTGGTTCTTTTACTGCATTATCTCCAGGTATGGTGGGAAGCAGAGCCCACCTCCCCAGCTTGCTGCAGTACATGGTAGGTGCTATCACCCTAACACTGCCTTTGCTCCCTGCTTCCAAGTGTAGTCCCTCACTCACACATCTCTTGTAGCCATCACAGAGCTGGAAAAGCTGGAATAGGAGCAGTTGTAAAAGCTGAAGCTCAGTGTAGTGATGCTGGCTTTGATCCGACCGGATAACAGAGGAAAGGAGGGTTTCAGCCGAGGAGGTGAACGCTTCCAAGGTGCTGTTACAGGTAACGGGCCTCATGCAGACGTGTGCCGTGAGCATAGCAGAGGGAAGGGGAGCACTGAGCACAGAAGGAGCTGGACCAGCCCCTGGCAGGGGTTGTCCTCTGTAGATCATGGTCACAGCTCCCTGAATGCTGGGCAAAGCCTAAAAGCCCTCCTGGAGCTCCCTCCCCAGCAGAGTCCAGCAGCTCCTGCTCCAGGCACCCCCAGAGCCCTTCTGTTGATGCTTTGGTGGATAACTTCCTAAAATCCCCTTCCTCTGCTTTTGGATCTGCACAGGATCCTCCCTCCACCCTCAGGACCATGCCAAAGGTTCAGTGTGGTGAAAACCTTCACCACTTCCTGGTGTTCTATTTATGTTTGAGCTTGACCAACACAACCCCGCTGTGGTGGAGCTGAGATCAACCTGACCCCATCTCAAGCCCAGATGAATCCAATCACTTCTTGATTTCCTTTGGGTTTACAGGCTCTCCCCACTCAATCCAGCCCAAATCATCCCCTCCTTGAAAGAGATTCCAGACCAGTGAGGGGATAAATAACACCACACAGAGGGAGAGGGGGGTCTGGGTTTTGTCCTTACTGGGGTTTAAAGTCCTGAACACAAATTATGTAGTAATATTATTGTAGAACTGCAGAAATTTATGATCTTTATAATGTACAAATTATTTTTATATTGTTTTTCTTAATGCAAAAAAAAAGCCACAAACCCAAATTTTTTACATTGGGCTAAACAGAACTTTTAAAACCAGTTTATGCCTCAAAGACTGAAAAGAAAAGGATTAGTCTGTAGAGCAGCTTTGGGTTTATTCCTTTTATTTAGGTAGTTTGGCTTAGAGTAGCATGAAGTTGGGTTTAAGTCCAGTCTTAGTTCAGATCTGAAACTGTCGCTTTATTCCTCTCCTGTGTAAATGTAACTTCAGAAGCACTAAATGAAACCTCCTGCGCAAACCTGAACAGGATGAAATCGTTTTAGCGGTTGAAAGAATCATTTGAAAGCTTAAAAAGTTCTTTTAAAGCTTGAAAGGGTCACTTTAACCCTTAGGGAGGCAGCATTACCTGACCCCATGCCTGCCATACACTGGGTGATGCACTGACGGCACTCAGAGGGGTGGTTAGGTCTGGAGCTCCATGCTCTGGTTTACATTACTTTGCCAGCTTAGATAAGAGCAGGCACCAGTGCTGAACAAGGAGCTGCTGCTCAGGCTCTTCCCAGACCCCCCCAAAGTCTCTTTTTATCACTTGTATTTAAAACACACCCAAAACTTGCTTTACAGAACCATAGCGATGGCTCAGCTCATGCCTGTCACTGAGACCCTCAGTGGATGGGGCTGTCAAAGCATCAGCCACTGCCAACGCCACAGAGGACAAAGCAGCCTCAGTGGCACAGTTTAACCCAGCACTGGTGTAAAGCTGTTGTAAGTTACTACCCAGTTGGTATTATGGGGTTGTCCAGAGAAGCTGTGGCTGCCCCATCCCTGGCAGTGCTCAAGGCCAGGTTGGACACAGGGGCTTGGAGCAAGCTGCTCCAGTGGAAGGGGTCCCTGCCCGTGGCAGGGGTTGGAGCTGGGTTAGTTTTTAAGGTCCCTTCCAACACAAACCAGGCTGGGATTCTATAAAACAAGTAAGCACCAAAGGCAGGAATAAGAGAAAAAGCAAATGGGCATAGGTAAGACTGGTGGGAATTGAGGGGCAAGTCCCAGACCTATTAACCTGCATCCCTAGCCAAGGAGCAGCCCTCACCCCTGCCAGCTCACCAGGGCTTTCACCTGCTCATTCCAAGGCTGCTTTGGTCACACTCTCCCCAGGGGCTCAGGGCTCATCCCTACAACAGCCTCCTCTGAGCCCCTTTATCCCATCCAATTCCCACCCCATCCCCACACTGAACCCCACTGCCCTTGGCAGCATCTCCACACACAACCTGGAGCAGCTACACCTGCTTTTCCAAGCTCATGGTGTTCTCACCTGTGCTTGCTCCACACAGGCACATTGAGAGCTGCCCTCCGCTCCCAGGTGCTGCAGGCTACGCTCAGACTGCCCCTCGGTGCCCTGCAGCACGTTCAGTTTAGGCTGGTGTAACTGAGAACAGAGTTCAGAGCTTCCAAAACACACAAGATAAGAGACCATGAAGCTGCCCATTGCCAAGACAAAACAGTGACCAAGAGCTGTCCCCAGCACCAAAACAAAGTTACCTTGAGCAATACCAGCAAGTGTCTTTAGAAACACCCCATGAAGGGTTCCTGGTTTGTGTTAATGCTTTTTCTTAAACAGAAGGAAAACTTTGCCCTTTTTTAGTTCTTTTCACAGCAATTTCAACTCTTGTTTAAATCCATCATTCGACTTCCTGCAATCAGTTTGAATGTACAAGCCCTGGAAGTACCACTTCATTAAAGCCGAGTACAAGCACTGTTTGTATGTAGCAGGGATCAAGGTGTTGCAGCTGTACTTTCATTTGTCCAGTGACATCCACCACTTGTTGTAAGTTTTTTACTTCATTGAATTTGTATGTTTTTGGCTTTTATGTTCAAAATATGTTTATAGCTTTATAAATAAAGTAACTGCCAGAGTGGCTCTTTGAGATGGGCCACTGGGAGTTCTGATCTGAACCTCTCAAATAATGATTTCTTGGAAGTTAAGAGGATTCTGCTGCTTCTTTTCCCCCCACTTCATCATTTGTATGACTAGATTCTAGGATAATTGCTTCAATGGGTAGGACTGAAGTAGTAAACCAAGAGTAAGAAGAAATATATGGGTTGGTGTAATGGGACCTTGGGTCATAGAGTTTCCTGAGCAGTCCCTGCTCTCCATGGTCTGATCTCTCCCCTTCTCACTGCTATCAAATACCCTGTGATATCAGGATGATTCTTCAGTCAATTCTAGATGGGAAGAGCCAAGGACTTCCAAATCCCTGGCAGTGTTTGAGGCCAAGGAGGAGAGAGCTTGCAGCAACCTGCTCTAGTGGAAGGTGTCCCTGTGCCTGGCAGCTGGATGGGACTGGATGAGCTTTAAGGTCCCTTCAACCCAGACCAGTCTGGGACTCTATGTCCCAGCACTGGAGTGTTTTATGCCCCCTGACAACACGGTATCTAATCTGCCTGATAGGCACAGGAGCACAAAGGCTGAATAAGCAGATGCACCCAAAGATTTGAATGCTGCTTTGGAGCAAGTTAACAAATCCTTTCATTAATGGCTACAAAGATCACCTAAGAGCTGGTAAAGCATCACAATACCTCCATCTGCATTGCTTGCTGTTTAATTTCCAGCTTCATCTGAGAAGTCACCCACTGTGTCTGAGTAGCGGCCTACATCAGTCACTAAACCAAACCTCTACACCTGCTTTACTTCAGTTAACCACCGCCTCAGTGCTCCTGTTTGTACGTACACCCAGCAGCAAGCAGGCTGCCTAGTTCCAAATAACTAGCACCATTTGCAAACAAAAGTTTAAAAGCCCTTTATTAATCCAGAAGTGGAACACTGATATTTAAAGTGAGATAAGTATGTTTATTACGGTTCATTCTACTCTAAGGTTTATACAGAGAATGGAATGCAATACAAGCTAAGAGCACACCTCAAAGAGCTACCACACAACCATCCCTACTCCCTATAAGGGAACTGTAAAAAAAACAAAAGAAATACAAATCAGGAAACCAGTTACTGTTTAACTAGTTGCAAGTGGCTTTGTCCAAGTTAAGCTGATATTGCATTAGCTCTGTATGCAATAATTAAAAGTCTCTACAAGCCAAAGGTATCGCAATCGAAGGCATAAGATTTCATATGGACACAGGAAACCATGTTTTCAAGAGCTACATCACAAGGGCTGTTTAAAATTGCCTAAAACCCAGTCACTACTGACATGCACAGGTCAATAATAGTAACTTTGGTAATGTCAGTCATTTTTGGTCAAATCAGGATTCCACTTTTTAACAGGAACATATAAAAACACCAATCCTGTGCATAAAGCAACACACTTCTCATCTGCTACCAGCTAGAGGCAGGTCTTCAAGACATGGTTGAAGGACTCAGATTTCATTGTTGGGAGCTTGCTTCGTTCGAGATCACATCTTTCACTAGTCTCTAAAGCCAGACTAACAGGACAAGAAGGTCATCGAATAGTTTCTCTTTTTCATATGCAGGACAAGAACCATCTCAGAAGTTCCATCACTTTAAGCTTAAACACTAATTCTGCCCACAATGGTTCTGTAAGGAATCCAGTAGCTTTTACTTCACCTGCTTCCCCAAGACACACATGCTAATTAGCCTTTCTTGCTGAAGCTGTCAATACCCTGTAAAAGCAAGTGTCTTGTTCTTGAGGAAGAAGCCACAGGTGGGTTTATTTACAATGGAGTCAGTCCTTAGCACTGGAACTGGACTTGAACACTTTCAAAGTGTAATGAAAATGATAATCTGAAGTGCTACGTCCCATCTAGAATCCACACTGAGTTCAGTTTAATTCATTGCAGAGTAAAGTAAAAAGACATCCAATTACACTAGTAAAAACTAAGATTTAAATTTGTACTCAAAAAAAAAAAACCACTACACATGCAGAGGAACAATATCCTGCTAACACAACTTCATTTGCTGCTGCATTTGTCTACTATTAACAATTATGAACAGAGCAGTGCAACTAGTATTTGGAACAATCCTTACAGTGTTCGAGTGTCAGGCACAAGGCTTCACTTCTC